TGGTCAAGCACGACCTCCCCCTGGTGAACCCGTGCTGACTACTCCTGATAACCTCCTTTTCTTCCAGTTGACTGGAGATTGCATCCAGCACAATCTGTTCCATCACCTTTCCAGGGACAGAGGTGAGGCTGACTGGCCTGTAATTACCTGGATCAAAATTCTTCTGAGATTTTCTATTTTTCAGAAATAAAGTATTTGTCAGGATTGGAAATCATAAAGCAAAATATCTGAGGGTGCTGAAGAAACATCTGTACTCTTCTGTTATTCATCCAAGACAAATAAGCTGTCCAGTGGTGAAAAATTTGCCTTATCAAATACATCCCATTCCTTCTAGACACTGGGTACCCTTCATTTCCTATTGAAGCCAGATGAGATTCAACATGTTGCCACTCAGTCTTTGATGAATACTAATGTCTTGTTATCTGCTAAATCATTAGTATTTATTGGTAAAATGGAAGCACAATTAGTCCTGACCTTTAGAGCTAAGTCAAAAGGTTAATCTGTGTCCATTTCCAATTCAGAGCATTAATTGCTCCCTTCTCTAATTGTACATAGGACGATAGTTACTGTTCATTTCAGAGATAAATCAAACTGTAGCTGATGGTCTGCATTCATAATTCTGTGCTTATTGCATCTTACAAATGAATTCTGAGTCACAGAGTGTCTCTTCACAGGCTTTGTGTAAAATATCAATAATTAAAAAATAACAATTAAAAAAGTTCTTTAAAAAAAAAAAGAACAACAACAACCACAATGCATACTTTAAACCTAAAACTAGTGGGATGTGATATAATTTGTAATACACAAAGGATAAAAATAAGTTTGTGTTTTTGGTTGCTCAGATACTACTGTTCATGACAGCTCTGTATATAGGGAAAAACACCAGTGTGAAACTAATAGCTGTTTTTGTTTCTCTTACAGCCACACTGTACACATCCTGTATTTTGTTGGGCATATTTCTCAACAGCAGCATACCAATATTCTTTGAGCTCTTTGTGGAAACAGTCTACCCTGTTCCAGAAGGAATTACCTGTGGAGTTGTCACCTTTTTGAGTAATGTGTTTATGGGAGTGCTTTTGTTTTTCCTCACGTTTTACCACACAGGTAAGAAATATGAGTTACTTTGAAAATATAATTCCCTGTGAAGACATACCCTTGTCAGTAAGGAGAGAAATTTGCATATACAATTTCTGTTAATAATCAAATGCATGAATCCCCTTTAGTAGCAAGGGGAAAGAACTTGTTCTTTTCTACGTGCGCGTTAATAAAAACAAAATGCTTTTTTTGTAAGATGTATGTGGACATGTTCCACTTGAAATTTGCTGTAACCAGAACCCATCAAGATGCACAGTCATCATATTTTTATAAATTTTTAATTTAGATTTTTATGGATAAATATTCTTTTAGATAATCCAGTGGCCCAGTGAGGCAGAACAGTGTCTTGTTTGGTATTTTCATCAGCATCTTCAGGTTTTCTCATCTCAGGAGTATTATTTGCTTCCTCATAATTCATAATCAGACTTCAAACTTGCTGTTTAATAGACTATAATAAATTCTTATTACTCTCCTATGACAAGATGAGCTGCTTAGTGAATGAGGGAAAGGCTGTGGATGTTGTTTACTTGGACTTCAGCAAAACATCTGATGCTGTTTCCAACTAGCTTTCTCCTGGAGAAACTGGTGTGGATGGCTTGGATGGATGAGCTTCTTAAAATGATTTGTTTTGTAACAGAGAAGACTGGTAAATTTCAGAATGAAATATGTTTGAAATTATGAAGGTTACAGTGCAGGGCTACTTTTCAACATGGCTTGTGTATCTTTCTGACAAGTAATTTTATGTAGGTTAATTTGAGAAAGAAGAATTTTTTTCATACTTTTACTGAACTGCATTGTTGTAAAAAGTGGATTCTATCCACACCAGCCTCAGTGGCATGATGTTTACTCCTTACATCTTAAAGAATGCTTTTATGATTAATATTAATTGGTGTGAACTCTGTTCACATATATTATTATTTCCAACATTTAAACCTTAGCTGAAAAGATGGTACAGAATATTCTGAGGATGTTTTCAACATTTTTCAGAGTAAGGTGTTCTGAACTGCTTTAAAAACCAAGGAATTGGGACACAATCTCTTGTAATATTTGCATAGTCTTAACTTCCTCTGACTGAAGAATTGTGCTAGAGTGAATTTCTTCCCTCATGAGCAGGGTATTTCAGGTCATTTTGTTCTCTAGCAGGTAAACCTAAAATTAATGTATCCACACACTTGGAATCTTTTCCCTATTTCTCCAAAGGAGCGGGAAAAAAGTTATCTCTGCTCAAGATGATCCATTCTCAGTGATGCAGTAACAGAAATGATCAAAATTACAGATGTTTGTGATCCCTGGAGGCAGTCAATGCTGGTGGATGCTATTGGCTCCTTTGATAAAGGAAAAATCCTTTAGAATTTAGATAATGATCTTAAATACTTGTATTCCCTTTGAATCAAATACATCTTCTAATGACATCTAAGAAGCTTATGGGTAAACCAGAACTCAGTCAAATTTATCTTGTTCGCTCCCTGCTTTTAGGCCAAATAATCATTCAGTAGTTTAAATTCTTATTTCTTTTTCTTTTCATACTGCAACGTTGCAAAGGCTGTGACAGAATTGAGCAATGAGAACTTTCCAGTGCATTGAAGATTTTGGTCCAGCTAACTTGGTTGAGAAGGGAAATTCCAACCTTTCAGAAACCTCAACCTAATTTCTAATGCTGTGCTCTGAGACCAAAAGCCTCGGCTTCTGGATGTGGTTTCTTACAGGGAATTCCAAGTGAGAGCCACAGACAAATCAGCCTTTAGCTTTGTGTGATCCATATGTTAGCATGAAGCTCCAATGCTGTACCAAATTTTGTGTTGCAAAAGGCATAAGGGGTTCAAGAGGAATATGTGGTCTCTCAGATTATACAAGTTCAAGTATGTTTAATCTAATCAAGGAAGAGTATTGCTTCTCCCAGAAAATAGTAACATAGCGTTTACCTGTGAACAATATTGTCTACTCCAAGCCTAGGAATATTTTATTAAGGTTTTGTTTGCCTCACCAAATCTGTAAGTGTTCTGAGGAGAGGATGTTGTTGGTTGTTGCTGGTTTCGAGAGCTTGGTTTCCCCGGCTTTGACTCTTGTCCTTTGCACTGGGTAATATAAATTGTGCTTTCTCTTTTAGCAATGTAAATTTTAGGTTTAGGAAAGTAGCAGTGCTGAAGTCTTGATTGTGATTAACTCAGACTCAGGGAGAGCTTAGCTTCTGTAAAAGTCAATAAACAATTTCAAAAAGAATAAAAATATTACTAAAAAATATTTCATTATAACATTGACAGACTTTAAAGAAAAGAGTCATACACTTACTTCTAGATGACACTTCTAAATAGTAGTAAAATATCAGGCAATAGGATTTCTCAAATGTGGAATTGTTTTTAGGAGCAAAATGTTGCAACTAACAGCTAAAAAGAGCCTTCTGAGCAGCAGTTAGTACAACTAGTTTTAAATTGCATTGATCACACTACTCACAAGGTTCGTCTTTTGGAATTAGTTTTCCCTCCTTAGCTCACGTAGCAGGTTTGATTCAAAATCAAATCCTACTGCTTCTTATGCTTTTAATTTGTTTTAGTTTTCAATCTATAGGAATCAAAGAACTAATGAGTAGAGTGTTCAGAAGTGGTTTATTCTCCATTAGCAAGAATAGATTTTTTTTCCCCCTTTTTCTGCATTGACAGGCTGGGTAAGAAGCATTAACATTAGCTGGAGGCATTGGTTTTATATATATAGAAGTCCATGGAGGAGTCCCATAGACCATGCTAACCATCTATTGATTGTGAAGCTGTCAAGATTTTGTTAAGAACGCAGTAATTTCCTTCAAACCCACCAGCCATGTTTCTAACTGACAACATTAGAAGTCTTAGTAGCTTTAAACACGGAGCATGTTCAATAACTAAGATTGGTTCTGTCTTCTACTTTCCAGAGTTCTCCTGGTTCAACTGGTGCCTCCCAGGATCGTGTCTGCTCAGCCTGCTCCTCATCCTGTGCTTCCGGGAATCCTACGACAGACTCTATCTCGACGTTGTGGTCTCTGTTTGATAACACAGGACTGCTGACAGGTTGGGAGAGACTGAGTTGATTTTTGCAGTCTGCACATCTGCCTGGATTTGCACAGCTGGCCAGAGGGGAAAAAAAATACAAGATATAATTGTGGCTTTATTAGTAAAGGTGAGGACAGGATGTTTCTTACATTCAAGCCCACTCAATTTGCATTCATTACTGGCAGATGAATGTGCAACTTGAGTGGTCATAAAGATGCCTGAAGTGCACAAGGAGAATATATCTGATGTACAGGTTCCAGTGTCTGACCTGGGTTTCTCTATTACTGTTCATGTAGCAGTGAGGTGTGTGTGTGTGTGTATGTGTATATGAGAGAGAGAGAGCCAACTCAAAGTTGTAAGCACTGGGGTACTGGTAACTTTTGAGTCTTCTATCAGAATAGGAACAGTGAATAATCTCAAAAAAAAAAAAAGAAAAAGAAAAAAAAAGGGAAAGGAGGACAAAAAAGAGGAAAAATCTTTTTTATTAAAGATCTGTCTTTCAAATTGCCAGTCATTTATATACCGTGTCCATTAAACAGTTAAGCTAAAATAATTTGGTGCTGTACACTACATTTACATTCTAATAAAGTGATTTCTGATATAAGACACTGGTACCAGGGTTTTTAGCCATACTAAATAGCAAAACAATCCTTGTAATGTTGCTAGGTGTATGTTTGTCACCCTGGTGCATGTATAATCCAAATGATAGCTGTAGCTGCCACTGAAACATGACTTGCACAACACTTGCCTCTGAAGTACCACTATGGTTCTGTATGGGCACACAGCACCTGTGGTATCTCAGAAGTTTACTGTAGAGTCATTTTTTTGGTAAATTTTGTAGTTTTAAAGGCTGCCACTGTTTCACCTTTTCATGCTCCATCTCCAGTACTGCCTTTTGTTCTTTTGTACTGTGAAGACCTGTTCACACAGTTAAGTACTGTTGGTGTGGATGTTTGAGTCCTGGTTGTTCTCTTCTGGTACTCTTAAGGTATGCATGTTTTTTTAAGATTAGTTTACAATTGAGGGTGCCTAAGCAATATTGTTTGTTAATCCAAGTCTTTAAAATCACAGTTTCCTAAAATATGTTTATAGTTTGCTGGGGTACCCTGATAGCGAAATGACAATGAGAAATATCTCATGAGTTCTGGCATAACACGGGAAACATAATGCCAGCTCTTTTTATCAGAACTAATTTGTGGTCGTTGTGGCCCTTACTTGAACGTAAATATTGAAGACACTTGGAATAGTTTTTTAACTCAATTTTAAACTTGCTAATAATTTCTTAATTCTATTCTTATATTTCAGTTCATCATCATTTACAGTATTCCCTGTGTGTGTGTGCTGTGCTTTGTGTTAGGTGTGCGAGTGTGTCTGCATGTTTATATCTATGTATGCACAAATATAACTTATATATATCTTTTACATATCTTTATAAATATATATATGAGTTGTATAAGGGTATGTGTTTACATAGGTTTATTTTATGTATTCCTGTCTCTGGATGGTAGGTATGCCACTATTTGTAGCTAAACCAGTCACTGCCGTGAATGAAAATACATACATGGGCTGTCTGTGACATGAATTTTCTTCTCATGGGGTGAATGATTTCCTACTGTAGCTGTTTTATAATACGGAGCACATGCACGTGTTGGAGGAGGTTGGTGTGCAGAGTTCTGTGTCAATAGAAGTTTGAATCAAACGCCCTTTGCTCCTACGTGGGGCTCTTCTCTGTCTTTCTTGAGTGATACAGACACTGTAAACTCACTCAAATAAAACCTGATCTGAGCACTACCTTTCAGACATGTATCCATTCATTCTCTTCTCATTTAGCGGAGAGGATACGCCATTAATACCTTCAACTCAGGAGTGTATTTGTGCAGCAAAATAAGCATGCTGTTTCATGGCAGGTGCTTTTATGTTTTCTGAGCGATGGATGTATTTACTGTAGTAAGTAACAGAAAATTGACTTAGCTCATTGCCTGTACCAGCTACTAAATGATCTTTTTTTCCCCTTGCAAGTGGTTCTTTGTAGACAGTCGAGCTAACTTATGTAGAGATAACTTAATCAATCTAACCATTACATTCAGAACCACCGGCATCATCCTTTTGCTGTTTTCAGATGGATGATATTAACTGCCCTACTTCTTTTTACTATGTTTCAGTGCCTCGAATGGTTTCAGTATCCAGTAGCTGCTGCTACCTATTGTCTTCTGAAAACTAGGATTGCTTGCCAAGAATTTGATTGGAGTTACATTGTCATGGTAGAATTGCACCCATGGATGGCTCTTCAGAGCTCTACGTCTGCAATTTACTGTAGCTATATTAAGGTGAAAATTGTACCATTCAGGCACTGTCCCAAGTGACAGAGGTTTCTAATCTTTTTGCTGTCCAGGCTATTTTGAGATGAAGGAGCACCTGAGGCAGCGTTCAGACTATAACCTCTTCCTCTTCTGTTCCAGAAAGCAGTGAACAATTCAAAATATTTGTCAGTGCTGCCAGATCCAGACTATGTTACTGTCAGGAAGACTGAAGGTCTTGTTTTAAACCTTGTTGAGTGTTCTCCTGATTTGCTGTGAATTGCTCACTGCTCTCCTGAAATTTGGTAGGAGTTTGAGCATCTGTCTTGGGCACTGTAATGTGTGGTCTTAATTACAGCCCTCGGTACCTCTGCACAGAAAACTGAACTGCTGCCTAGAGCTGGGCAGTGCAAGAAGACTGTTGGAGACCTGCACTGTGCCTGCAGGCCTCAATCTGACTTCCCAGAACATCTCATGGAAATCGGATTGAAATCTGATGGAAATTGAGTGAACGCCAAAGGATGGCACCCAAATGACTTCAAATTGATGAGGACCCTGCATTCCAGACATGCAATCTCCAGGTGCTGTGCTCTTATTACACTAGCAAGTCTAGCAAGGCTTGGAACAGGAGGTGGGGACTGTGAATGTGCTTGCCGGTAAGTCAGGACCAGCATCCTCCTGTGGTGGAGCAGTCCATTTTGTGTTAGTAACCCAACTGAAGCTTTGGGATTATTTCTTGGATAACTTTTTTGCTTCTCTTCATGGCCCAAAAGAGCACTTTTACCCAGCAGTGCAGAGCCCTCTAAAATAAAATGTCCACAGTTATTTGTATTTTGAAAATGCCGGGAAGAAGCACAGTGGTCATTCTCTTCTCTTTAAAACATCTTCATTTCAAGTAGTTATACTCTGGTCTGCTGCTTGTGTTTCTGTTTATATTACTAATAACTCTTAATTCGGTTCTACTGGCTTTTTTATAGCTAGCTTTCATATTGCTAATGGGTTTAGTAGAAGCTGGCTCTGCTTATGCTGCTGTTTATTGTCTGTTTGCTGTTTTTACCCATGAATTTCCTTTTGATTCCTTCGCTTTGCTGAGTTCCCTCCTGCTCCCCTGTGTTGGTGGCAGTGCAGGGACTGTGGTGGAGAAGAGCTTCCATGCTCCCAGTTCCTGCACTTGAGAAGTCAAACAGATAGGGTTTACGTGTGGTATGGATTTAGGTTCACAGCATCTGCTGAGTTATTCCAAACCATCCAATGGATCAGGAGTTGTGGGAGTGGGATGTCTTCATCTTCACATGGGTTGGAAAATCCCATTCTGTGTCTGTAGCTCTGAGGGGACAGGCTGATGCATGTAATGTGGGAGGGTGGGGTTTCTGTAGGGCCTTTCAGCACTGCAGTACCGTGTGAGTTGATCAAATCCACATAGAACGTGAAGTTTTGTGCTGAGAGAGATATCAATCTCTGGCTTATCCTATAGTAATGCATTGCCTAGACACTAATGTAAATAAACTGGATTGGTATTCATATATCGGCTGTTACTGGGAAGGGAAGTGCTGTTCTGTGTGAGGATTGACTGGAATATAAGCAGGGATTATGCGGTGAGCACAATGGATTTAGCTGTCCTGCACTGCTCTGACAGCAGATTTTTAATTGTTAATCCTCATTTCTTACTTTAGATCACGTTCAAATGTTAATTAGCATCTGAAGGGGAAAAAAAAAAAACAACAAAAGCACTCAGCTGGGGCTTATTTCATTAGATTTTCTTTGTTGTTGTAATTATGGATTTTGGTAATAATTTGGCAAGGTTTGGCTACACCTGTATGGGTCTTGTATCAAGTATATGGATTTGGTGGTAGTGTCGCTGTTCCCAGTGTTCCTAAAGCACCAGGCTATGGCACATGCTCTTGTCTGGATGCATGTGGGGCTGCGGCTGTTCCTGCTGTGGAGTTGGTGTCGGAGGCAGCTAAGAGTCTGCTTGCTTCACCAGTGAGCATCATTTCAGGGCATGGAGCCGGGTTCCATGAGAGGCAGCAGACACAGTGAAAATCAGATGTTGTCAATCTGCTTGTAATTTTTACAGTTTGTCTTTCAATGCAGATGAAACTAATAAATAGAGGAGGAAATGTAGCTTGGCCCAAAGTTTTGACAAGCGGCAAAAAGCAAATATTTGCACAGATGCGCTGGCTGCTGCTTTCCATTTGGGATCCTGGTATGTTAGGAACATCTCGTGCTCAACCGAGTGGTTTGTTGGGCTTGGTCAGGGAAGTCAGTGGGAGAAAGGGATGTGCTGATGGGCTGCCCTGAGCCCTGGGGCCTTCGGTCCTGAGCTGCACTCCTGCTGTGACCCACTTCACTGCAGTTGGCATGCGTTTTACTTTTGTAATTTTTTAAAGTGAGTTAATAAATTTATTTTAGGGCAAATTTTACTTTTTGTTTGTGATATTCTGATGCGATATATTTTTTATTTTGCAGAAAATAATGTTTAAACCACCATATACCTGTCAGCATAACACGCCCTCTGTATTGTTTAACACTGGAATCTCGTCGTGATGTGCTTGTCACTTTACATACTGCTTGTTGCACATTAAAGAAGTCACTCAGCTGTGCCACCATCAGTGTTCATTAATTCATATGGCACCCTGAGGGACTTGCTTATTTCTGCTAGAAAATCAATGAAAAGTACTGAAGGTACTGCTGCACAGTGGAGCATCCTTAGTCTGAAGGGCTGAGCCCCAACCTTGGGGCAGAGAGCACCTTCTGGCTCTGGTTTCCTGTCCCAAGATGCTGGGAGCCGTCTGGTTTGCTATTTTGAAAGGGCCACCCTTCGTCATCCCTTTGCTCATGTTTATTCTTCACCTGATTGAAACAGACCCAACTGGGATCCGTGTTTATGTTCTAGGACTGGCTCTTCAATAACATCCCAGCCACGGACAAGTTTAAAATAGCATCACCTCCTTTCAGTGTCGGGAAGGCTCTGTCAGTCCTGGTGGTGGGGAGGAGCTGGGCCCAGCTATTCTTAGCAGCAACCTCTTTCCAGCCTATATATGGGAGCTGGAGGCCACACTGCTCCCAGGCATATTTATTGCCATGGTGCTGCAGCAATCTGTGCTGGAGGGATCAGGGCCAGGGTGTGGCTCAGACCTGTGAGCTGGCAAACCCTCTCTGCTCGGCCTTGCTCAAGGAGATGCTTTGCCTGCTTTCTATTTAATCTTTCCAGCCATTGGCACCTGCCAAGTGGCCACCCCACAGCATGAGGAGGCCCCAGTCCAAGTGAAGCCAACAGCAATGTGAGCATGTAAATGGGGTGCAGCAAAAAGAGAATTTCTGTGAAGAGCCCTTCGAAAAATTTGTTGTTGCTAAGAAATGTTGAAAGCAGAAAACAATAATGTGGCTGCTGCCAGAGCAATAAGAGTGCATCGGCGCTTTGCCTCTCATGCGCAGCGCTTGCTTGTGACAGTAAATTAAGTACTGCAGAGATGGGGATGATTTTCTCCGTGGCCATTGATGCTTCACATCACAGAAATATCAAACGGTGCTGCTGGAGGTGGTTCATTACCCGGCGCAGGGAAGCGGAGCACTCTGCCGTTCCCCCAGCAGTGGGCAATGGCTGCGGGCTGTGTGGTTCTCCCCATGTCTGATGACTGGAGGGAGGGCATTGCCTGTCCTCACCTCAGTGCTGGGAGTGAGGTGAGGTGGTTGTTGGTGGGGCTTTGATGTTTGGAAGTAGAGTGGGGCAGTGCTGAAAGCTGCTTTGCTGTGATTAACCTGAGGCTTGGCTGCTAAGCAGAGTGCAGTGACAATTCCACACGAGTGAAGTTGTATGAATGAACTAAAGAAAACACGTCAAAATGCATTTCAGCTGTTAGCAAAACAGCATTTTTAATGACTCTCCAAAGCCTTTGGTAATTGAGCTGTGTGTTTGAGAGCGTGCAGTCTTGCACGTACAATGGAAAGAGAGAAGCCCTGGGAACGGTGCAGGAAGGAGCTTGTGGGCTGGAGCCTCTGACCAGAAGCTTGGGATGGACAACATGGGAGTGCAGGACAGATGCAGAACCTCCTGGAGCCATCCCATACACATGTAAGCACTGTGACTGTCATTACAGACCTCTTGGACTGCCACAGCTGTCCCCACGGGAAGCAGAGACAGGACTGGGGGGCCTCTTCAGTGGAGGACATCAGGTTGGGCTGGCACAGTTTGTTATTGATAATGTAATTTAGTGCTAATTGACCTTTACTCACCCATTTTGCAGTGGTTACAAAGCACCCAGCAGTGTTCCCTGATGGGGGGGGGAGGAAGGGAACAACAGCAAAAGGGATTCATGCAGAGGGATGGGGTATGTGGGGGTGTGATCTTCTGCCCCCAGAGCATTTCTGGCAGATTGCTTGGAGGGCACATAGAAATGGAGTGCACTGAGCCTTCTGTTTTCTCCTTTGTTGGTGTTCTTCGTGCTCAGCCCCAAGCAGCCCTGTGCTGGGACATCCTACAGCTGCTGCTCCAAGCAAAGCATCTGCACTGAATGTGGAGCACCCCTGCTTTCTACACTGGTAAGAACTTGAAAAGTAAACTGGTGCACCTGGGATGTGGAGTGAAGGTGGGAGAGCAAACTGTGCCAGGGCTGCAAGTGAAGCTGTTATGTTAATGAATCAAATTAGCACCTAGGAAAAAATGTTGCGGTAGACAGATTTCAAGGAAATTGGAAGTGGGCTCCGACGTGCTGCTTTTTTCTAATTGTGTGCAGAGGTGTCTCTACAAAACAAAGCCATTCGGAAGTGCCCCCTCTGTGTTTTGGTGCAAAGTAACTGGATAAAAAAATCAATCATCTTATTCACAGCAAGTTTATTTTTACTGATCTTGTGCCTCTCAATTACTTTTTAATGGTCTGCATTGAAAAGAAATTCCTGTATGCACACTTGAGAACATGAAAACACCCAAATGATAGCTTATGATTTAGTAGGATTAAAGTATTATGTATGCAGGTGCAGCACGTTTCAGGTTATTAGTAATCCAATCTATTTTTTACGACATTATGGTGTAATTTTCTGTATAAAACTTCAATATAAGTCTCGAGCTGCATCGGAACATAAACTAAAATGTTCCTGACTCTGTCACTTTTCATGGTCTTTACTTTGATTAATAAATGCAAGTGGAGCTATAACATCCCACAGTGAGAGGCCATGATCATCCTTCAATCAGAGTGTGTCCCCCCTGATTTCTGGAACTATTTGCATCTCAGTGCAGGGGATGAGGAGCAGCTGCAGCACCCCCAGCTTGCAACGGCTGCATGCCCTGCTTCCCATGTCCCCAAATCTGGCACCTGCACTTGGGATGAGTTTTGCTCTCCCCCTGTTGGGCACCTCATGCAGAAAGCAGCTCCTCATGGCAGGAAAATAACCCACAAGCATGCCAGATTGTTCTGTTTTATTTCTGAATTATTCTTTACATTGTACAATATATAAAAATACATAGTACCCCAAAAAAATTCACAGTGTCTAAAGGCAGTGATTACAGTCTAGGTCACCTTTATACTAAAGTACCATCGAGTTCAATTGCATAGGAAGGGTGATGTGCCTCCACTGCAGAGTCCAGTGACACGCTCCAGGTTTTCTGTTTGGGACAAGAGTTCCAATCGCATCTCCCCCCAGCCCTGTGCCTGTTGTGCCCCCACCTCCATCACACACTTGGCCCCATCTCACTCTTCACACACCCTGAAGCCTCTGTGGGAGCGGGGCTGCAGCCTCATGGCATTTTGTGTTTCTCGCAATGGTTGGGTTCAAAGCAAAGCAGGATGGGGGCTCTAGAAAGCCAAATGCTGCTCTTAAACTGCACACGCACCTCCCATGGCAGGAGTGGGTTTGCAGCTGAGGCAGAGCAGAAGCAGTGGCCCAAAGGGAGGATTTCAGGGCAGAAGGGTTGAGGGTGGATGACCCCACAAGGACCCATTCCCCACAGGGGGGTTGTTTTTGGTCGCTTCTGAAGGCAATCGCACAGCACCGAAACCTGTGGGTCTCCTCACCCAGCCCAAACCTGCTCTAGCAGCCTTCTCAGGTTTTCTCCTTACAAGCTGAAAGGGAAGAATCCCCCATATGAGTCCAGTCCCTCCTCAGAAGCACCCTTGCCATAGGGTGCTGCCCCTGCACCGCAGCCTTGTTTGGAGCCCTCTGAAACCAAAAGCCGTTGGTTTTCGGGGTTTCTCGACCCTAAATTTTGCATTAAACTTATTTGTGTCCCCATAAGGCCAGTCTCATGATGCTGATCAATAACTCAGAAAGCAATTGCTAACTTCTTAACATGGAAGATGACATTGTTCCAGTTCTTGTAGTTTATGCTTTACTCTAATGGTACATTATTTGTTACTCTACTTGCTATTTTAATTTTCTTTGCACAATTACTCCCTACTTATAATTACAAAAACAACAGAGTGATACACATGAGAGATTCAGGAGGCTTATTCAGAAAATATAAGCAGTAACGAGAATCCTTTACTCAGTCATTCTTAACCAGAATGATTTAGGGGAGAATCAGCACTTCTAACTAGAAAAATCAATTTTTTTTTCAATTAAAAAATTATATTTCATTTACCTCAAAAGCATATTTTGTTACCCCCTAATGGAAAGGACACTAGATTTGTACTTTTTTTTTCCTTCAGTTTGTCCCTGTGGCATTTGAATACCAGCACTGCCTTTCTTATTTTAAGTTTCCTCTGCAGGCATTTTGCTATATATATATATAGAGTGTGTATATATTATAAATATATACTGTACCTATCCACCGATAGATGTATACACTATTACAAAAAAAGAGCAAGTTGTTACACAAACTTTACATTTACATTTTATATATATATTTATATATATATAAAACTCTCCCCCCACTACATTTGGTATAAAGAATAAATCAATCTCAGTGGACAGCAATTTCCTCCCCAGGTGGACTCAGCATCAGATTAACACTGGAGGCATCAAATTATCTGCATCAGACGAGGACTCCGTTCCTGCTCTCTGTTGATTTCAAAAAGCAAACTCTGTTATCTGTTTTTCTACAAGTAAGGCATTAGGAACAGTGGTGGTAGCACACTACAAATTCTTCTCCTACAGTAGCTGTACAGTTCGCATATTTGGGTGTGGAACATCCCACTATAGGTGTTTCTGCTGAAAGTTGGGCTGTCAGATTTCCACTGTCTTATGTCCATTGCGTTTCGTGCGCTGTATGCCCGAATCCTCCCCAGAACCAATGGCTCCAGACCAACCCTGTGACCACCCAGGGTCTCCTCTTCTCTCAGAAGTGAAAGAAAAAGGAGAGCTAGATGGTTTCATTGGGAAGCAGTGTTTCCCAATTAAGTGCATTTCCAGTGTAGTTCAAGCTGTTTCCTAAGTTCAAGCTGAACTTAGGAACTTTTAAACTCTAGCAGCAGCCATGAGCAGTCCAACCTGCTACAGCTACTGCAGATCTAGCGATCAAACTGCTGTATTACTTGGACAGCAAGAATGTCATGTATTTGTGTCATTAACCTGCCACACATTAGAGAGTTCATAACAAAACGCAACCCTCACACCACATTTACATGATCCTTAAATAACTGCACCCTCATGCAAACAGTAACTGAGTAATAAGTGCTCTGATTTCTCTCTCTCCGCGCTCTCTCCTGGTTTCTGCTTTCTGCTCGAATGGAGCCGCCAAGAGACCCTTGCTGTGACTGCCCATTGCATGAAAAGGACTGGGTCCATTTGGAAGGCTGGTAAGAAGAGCATTTCAATGAAGTGATAACCACATGTACCACCCTTAAAGCATCTGCCCTCCAATAGCTAACAAAATATCCACCTTCTGAGCAAAATGGCAGTAATGACCCATCATGGTGAGCTGAACATTTAAGTAACTTTAACTGCGATATGGGAGCTTTCTTTGGGGAAAAAAGCCAAGCATGGAAGAATGCTTAAAGCGAAGAGAAAAAAAAAATACAAAGGAAAAATGGAAAATGAAAAAAAAAATTGCAAGATTTGACTCACTCACATCCCCTAAACTCCAGCTGCAATTCTGTGATGTGCACGATGACGGCAGAATGTGTCGGTGCTGAAAGGGAAGCTCAAAGGTGGCTCAAATTTCACAACAGTGAGCGTGACTGTGGGAGCCCCATCTTCTTCTGACTCCTCCACTGAGAGTTGAGGAATTCCAGCCAGGCAGTCCAAAGTAAACGCATTCAGCCTCTGGGCCACATGTTTGTTGGAATGACTTACAGCCAAGATTTCCAGTGTTTTGTGGGGAGTAGGCAGTTTTGTTCCCTCTCTTTCACCTGGTGAAGCTGAAACAGAAGCAGGGTGAGCTGCTAAATCAGAAGAACAGCTGCTGGAAATGATAAGCACCACTGAGCCTAAGGCATCCTTGAGGCAGTGCAAATAACCCCACTTCATTACAAATATCCTACAGCCTTCAATCACTGCAAACTGAAGTAAAAAAAAAAAAAGTAATTTAAAAATTGCTTTCCTTCCGGTCAAACAATCGTAACACAGGCTTATAGAGCCACACCGGCTTTTCCTTGCAGGAAAAGCAATGCACTTGTATGAGCCTTTCTTCATTTCCTACTGGCTACCTGCATGAAAGAGAAGAACACGTGGCCCCGGCCAGACCTCCAACAAGAACTGCAAAGGAACAGCACTGAGAAACTGTTGGCTTATGGCAAATCTGAAAGAAAGCAAAGACAAAAAGCTGAGTACACAGCCGAGCTGACAGCCATGTGTGGGCATGGCAGTCATCCGTGTAAGATGCAGACAACAAATCCAAGCTCGGGACTATGTGGAGCTCATGCGCATTTCGGGGTGTACTTTTATCTCATGCTTGGTATTGCAACATTCTAAAATCCTTAGCATCAGGAGTTCGTTATAAATATTTAGAAACACTGAATGATAACAGTGGTGGACTTGTTCACGTTGCTAACACGTTTGATGTAATTGTACATTAAGCACCAGCAATAAGTTTCCTTTTTGCCAAACAATTATGTCAGACAAACATCTGGCTGTAGACAACATGGCTTCTGCATTAAACTAATACAGTTCTCATAGACACAGTCACACACGTACACAAAATTACATTTCAAGGCTGGATATATTGTTTAATAACGCTACTGCCCCAATTCACTTCAATAGCTGCAGCAGCAGTTGTTTGTTGGGTTGGTTTTGTTCAGAAAAATTAAGGAAATATTGGCAAACAATGCACATTACTCAGCCGTGTTACTATTTCATAGAGTACTGACTGGAAGACACTATAAGAATGTGCAGCAGACTTTCTGGGTCACGTCAGACTATGGAAACATTCCTTACAAAACACTCTCCCCTGCAAAGTCAGAATTATTCACTCTTTGAAAAGTAAACAAACTAAAAACCAACAATAAAAGAAAGGTAAAAATTAGCCCAAAGCTTGGTGATTTCCCACAAAGAAGAGCACGGCCTCCAATGTTGTCTTTCCTTGCGGACACAATCAGGATCAAAGCTAGAACAAAAAGAGTTAACACTGTGTCAGAAACAAAATGAAAGAATGAAAGAAAAAAGCCTATGGCTCTTGTGTGGCAATCATCACTTTTTTTTTTTTTTTTCCAGGGATATAAACATCTTTGTTTGCTAGGCATTCCAAGTTCATGTCTCCGATGTTATTCCAACATTTACTTTCCTCAGTATCTCACTGCCAGTATAATTTTCTTTGAATTAAGACTGGAAACATTCTAGAAAGCTTCTTTGGGTAATGCGCTTTATTTGTGTGTTGTTTCTCACCAGCTCAATTGCTTATTACCAAAGAAGGCTGTGGAGATTATTTCCTGCAGTATGAAAAGATTCTGTTGAAGATACAGGAACGTTGCCCTAGAAAATTACTTTTTTTTTTCCTTTTTCTTTTTTTTTTTTTTTTCTGCAGAAACTGTAAAAAAAAAAATAAATCAAAATTAAAAAAGGAAATGAAAAGGAAAACGTTCTTCAAGTTGTTGGCACGATGGAGTCCTGCGTGGTCTGTTCCATGTTCTCATCTTATGCCCTGTTGCTCCTCTGTCCCAGGAAGGATGCTCCTCGCCCCAGGAGGCCGCCTCCTGTGTCACTCCACATGCACTTGTACTGCTGCGTGGTGGCACGGCCACAGCCAGCTCCTTGACATCAGCCTTGGACAGCGATGCTGATCTTCCAGCCATAAACAGTTGCAGTAGTGAGAGCCATCTCCAACCAAACAGCCACAAAGCTCTGCAGAATGGTCCGTGTCCTTGTAAGGAGATGTGCTGTTTACAAGAAATACAATTAACCAAAGGAAAAAAAAAGACCCTACTGTACAATATTTACATCTAGAGGCTGGGCCAGTATTTGGTCCACAAAATCAATAAAAAAAAATTCATATAGGAAGTGATCTAGTCCTGCAGGATCTGTCCATCATCAGCTGTTGGTAAAGGTCCTTCCAGGGGAGGCCTCAGGCCTGTAGTCATATTTATTCAGTGTACTGGGATAGTAGGTTGTCGTGTACACGTTGGTTTGCTGCAAGGGGTAGAAGTTGGTCCTGTCATCTGGTATCAAGTTGTTCTTGTTAAGTGTCTGTAAAAGAGAAGAGGGAATGACAGGCATGGCCACGGTGTGACACAGTTACTCCTTTCTACCTGCAGACACCTCCCTCTCACCTGCCTTCTTCAGCATGGCCTCTGCTGCAGCCACCACTGCCTTCCCTCCAGCTGGGAGAGTAAGACGGCACCTCGAGGTCACTATGGGGCAGTCTGCAGGGACCACAGCTCCTGCCAGGTCTCCTCACTGTGCTCCATCTGTGCTCAGCTACTGCTAGGGCCACAACCCAGAGCCCTCTCCAGAGACCCGCAGTCTCCTGGTGGATGGCATGTTGTCTGAACATCAGCGTCACACAGAACCATGCTGGGCCTACACGGACCTTGGTGGTTAATGGTAGTGCTCAGTCTAATCTCTTTAAAGCTCTGATGTTACAGCCTGCAGCTCCCTCTCAAAGCAGCTGCCAAACGGTGGCTTTTTCTCTTTGGCAGAGCAGGTGTGCATTTACCTGATCTCCATCTCCATTGGTAGATATCCAGGTTTGGACCCCCCGATATTAAGTGTGTCACTTCTGTCAGCTACAGTATAAGTAACAAATCATGGTCACTTTTGGAAAAACTAAAATGACTTAAAATACTTCAACAACCATGAAACAAGTGTTGTCAACAACAGCATAAAAAGGAGAACCAGAAACACCCCTTTTAACATAAAAATGTAGAGGGGTTTTTCCCCTGCCCTCCTCCCCCCTTTGATTTTTGCAAGATTTACTGTTACTTTTCACACTAGCATCCCTCCCCTGTCCCCAGATTAAAACCCATTGCTATGCCAGGCTTTTCCTCTGCACAAGGATAAAATCCTGTTTTGGAAGAAGCAGCGATTGTATGAAGCTTTCTCTTTCATCTTTACAGTCTACAACTTTGGTTGTAGACATTTCTAACAACATTTGTAACGACATTTTTCAACAAGCTCCTGGCTTCAACTTCTTGTCTCTGACCTATAATGTTCCTACGCACATCCTTAAGGTTTGCCATGCAGTACAGTAGGGAACTCACTGCTTTGATTTGAGGGTCAACACAGGCTTTGTTTGCTACAGCATCCTCGTGATCGAGGCACAGCACATTTAGGGAAGGTATGAGCGCATCTCCTGTCTGGAGCAGAGAGATGGAGAGGTCAGATGAGGTGGCCAGTCCAGGATCTAATGGTGGTTCTGCTACCCCAGTACTTCTGGGGAAGCCACTACACCTCAGTTCCATAAACTGCTCATACTCAACCCAGCTCAAGCCCCAATTTCTATTTAATCAAGTAATTTTACTGCATGGGGAGCGGGAGAGGAGGAGGAAGAAAAGAAGATACCTTCTTCTAATCCAATATCAGTCTCACACCTACAGCTACCATGGGAACTGTGCCTCCCCATTTTATGTAAGACATAAAGAGGAAAGACTTCCCTGTGGCAAAAGTACCCTGACACAGACGCTGTTTAATTACTGAATAGCTGAAAAACTTCTATGGAACGGGCATTACCTGAAACATCTTGTATGTGGAAACAGGAGGAGATCCAGCCTCCTCCTGGTCTGACTGGGATCTTTCCATGCCTGGACCTACAGCACAGCACTTGTAGGAGTTAAGAGAGAATTTGTACAAGCATGCTCAAAATGACAAATACTTCCAAGGAATGAGAATTTCTGCCTTTCAATATGAAAGGAAGAAAAGAAATGTCATGCTTTGCTCCCAGTCACCCAAAGAAATATTAAAATAGTGTAGGCAACAGTCTGCTGCTTTGTGCTGGAGGCTGGCAAACAAGGAAGCCAGTTTCAGTTTTCTGTTGCTTTCTATGCTTCCTTGGGAAATTCAATTAACTTCTCTGTGCTTCAGTGTTTTCTGACCCAGCTTGATAAAAATGATTGAGATCGCCTGCAAAAACTCATTTTGCTAAGTACTGTCACTGAGTCTTTGGGGGCACTGCCCTCTGGAAAACAAACAAGTGTTTGTACATGGTGTCAAAGAATTCCTATCAGCGTCTCTAGCACAGGATGCCCACTACAGGCAGTGTAACCCAATGGCCACAGACCACCACGGCAAGAGGACAGGCTGATCCCCACTGCTGCACTCCCTCGGCACACCCAAAGGCAGTCCTGGACTTGCCTGGCTCACTTTTTGGCAGAGCTAAGACTCAAGAGGTGTCAGGATTACAACCCCTTCAATTTGAAATTTGTTGGCATCAAAATGCTGACCTGGAATGGCACAAACCATCTCAACCTGAGGACAGAAACCTCAGGATTCATCTTTCTTGGCTTTCAACTGGAAAATCTGTGTGAGTTCCAACAAGTCCCATGGTGTTTAAGACCAGTCCCTTACAGTAGAATTAGCATTTAATTAATGCTATTTGCATACATTTTTTTTAATCTCTTGTCTTACTTTCGTATAACATTTAATTAG